TTTTTACACTTGCACAGAGTAAAAACAACACTGTAAGTGTTCACCGTTAACACCATTAGTGTTGCTGAACACCAAGATATTTTGAAGAAAGTTTGTAAACCGACATGCTTTGGGCAGCCATTAACGATGATGGTATTTGGTATTTCTTACTATGGAAGTCAATGGCTGCCCAAAGCAGCCAGTTTACAAACTTTCTTCAAAATATCTTTGTGTTCAGCAGTACAAAGAAATGTATAGAGGTTTGGAACAGTAAATAATGAAAAGAGTAAATGACAATTTTCATTTTTGGGTGAACTATCCCTTAAGTGTGTCAGGTCAGAGAAACAAAATGTGCAGAGGGGTGAATCCCAAGGACTATGATTGAAAACCACTGCACTTAAACATTCACAATGACTTTGCAACAGTATTGTTAGTTTTACCTTATGGTAATGAACAAGTCTGTCACCAGCCTCTGCTGGACTGATCTTAGTCTTCTTCCTCCCTGGAGCAGAAGGCAGGAGATGCAACAGCAGCAGGACATATGACATGTCACCGCCCCAATCTGAATGAGTAGATGTTTAGGGGGTGGTGCGCGATTTAGGATAAAACAAAAACAAACATTTAGTGCTCACAATAACAAGAAACCAGAGAAAAAAAATATGAAATTGACATCCTCACAAATCATGCCAACCATTTTCAGATCTTTGTCCACCTGCTGCATTGAGAAGACACCGAACTTCTGCTGTTGAAGTAAGAGACTGGGCTTCATTGATGATCTTTTGCTTGAATGCCGCCTCACACCTCTCGAGAAGCTTGTTGGATGTTTCAGCATTGAATAGCAGAGCAAAGTCCTGATTTATCCAATGACAAAGCATATTACTTTGGTTACTTTTTCATCCTTTATCACCAAAATGGATAGTGTGTGCATGTTTTGATAAACTAAGACATCATGAATGTGCAAATTAGTCAAACATAATAATTAAAGTATTTACTTGAATTCTTTCAAAATCTATCACTGGCATGTACGAGCGAGAGTGATAAATCTATGAACGAATGAGTCCAAGTAACAATCATGTCAAAGAGTAACCTTATAAGATACTTAACAAAAAGCAGGCATATCTAAAACACACTTAAAACCTTTATTCTCCTTTTCAAAGAATGTTTTAAAGATACTTAACAAAAAGCAGGCATATCTAAAACACACTTAAAACATTCTTTGAAAAGGAGAATAAATGTTTTATTTACCAATCCTTTTACATCCAAATATCTTGGAAAAACATCAAGGACGTCAGCTGATCTTTCAGGATTATGTACCAGGTCTTGTCTATTAGGGCTGCACGATAAATCGCATGCGATATTTAATGCGCATCTTGTCAAAGCCGGTTCTGTAATCAGCGGTAAATCTCCATCACATGTGTGCTTTCACATGGAGCAGCATTTACTACACAGAGCCGTTGTTCACTGACAAGCTGCGCAAAACCACGATTATATTTTGCACATGCGATTTATCGTGCAGCCCTATTGTCTATGCTTGAAAGTTTCCTTCATCTTTTGCATAACTTCAGCTTCATCAGCTGTATGGACAAGGAAAGAAGTTACCTCTCTGCATGCATCTCCTTCAAGTTGTTGCACATCATCTATCCTTCTTCGTCGACTTGGTCCTCCACTTTCAGTCATCTCCAAGCCAACACGTTTTGGGTTCTTCCTCGACAAAGTTTTAAGGCACCAGGAGATGAACGCTGTTCCCTTTTTCGGAATGTAGAAATGCTCCTGTCAGAAAGACAAGAGAACACTTTTTGTAAGATCTGAACATTACGTTAGTCATTACATTACATTTAATAGATAAACTACTATTACATGCCACAAAAAAGGAGCACAAAACTTCATGTCCAACTAGATTGTGTTAAAAGTACATCAATACAAAAGATTCTTACATAGCCCTTTGTTGAAAACTGGTCTCTCAGGCTAGGAAAGAGAGAAATAATGCCCAAGGCATAAGTTTCCTGCTGTTTGCGGGTGGGGATCTCCTTCAATGTAGTAAAAAAAAAAAAAGGTTAATGCTAAACTTAACATTGTTTTCTACACCAATTGACACAGCTGTGTGTAGCTCTTGCATCTGTGCACTTAAGTCTTACCCATGAATTGCTGTCATGTGACTGACAACAATATTAACAAGCTGACATCTGGTGCTTTACAATAAGGTTTCATTAGTTAACATGGACTAAGAATGCACAATACTTCTACAGCATTTAATAATCTTAGTTAATGTTAATCTCAACATTCCCTAATACATTATAAAAATCAAAAGTTGTATCTGTTAACATGAACGCACTATGAACTAAAATGAACAAACAGTTCTACTTTTATTAACTAATACTAAAGTTAGTCATTGTTAGTTTGCACATTAATTAATGTTAACAAATGAGACCTTATTGTAAAGCGTTAACACACAAGCACTGTGGGCTTATACCTCAAGCATAGTTCCTATATGACTAAGTACATTTCTAAGCAGTAGAACAAGATTCTTAGCTTACCTTCAGTGAGAAAGTCTTGGAACCTACTATCGCTGTGCAGTTTTACAAATTTCTTCACGCCTTGATGAACATGAAAGCTGTTGGTCAAGAAAAATGCAAATTATGACGTTGTTAATATTAAAGAAAATCCAGCGAGCCGCTTGTCAGAAGCTCCATTTGTCACCCCACAAATGTTAACGTTACATTAAAGTGAAATTGCAGCGAGTTAATTGTAAGTTAAAGTATCTACTATTGCAGATGAAGCGCGCGCACGTCAAACACGTGTCTCATATGATGAGCAAATATTAGTTCATAGTCATACGCTGGAAGAAAATGTAAGTTTAGCAAAACGCTTCTTGCTTGATTATCTGAATTTATCTCCGCTGCCTTTTACTTTGCAGACGAGAGTAACCGAGATATATTTCATGTAAATTCCTCGGATCCATCAGAAGCTGTGCGTTCAAGGCCCACGTAAAAAAAAAAAAAAACGCGCATTACTGATTGCTGCTCACTTAAACAGTCAGATTATTTGTGGAACAATGCACAGTTATACTAAAATACTGGAGACAAAAATGAATTACAATGTCTTATTTTGGCAACACAAATAACGTGAGCCCCAAGAAGGGGAATATGGATGCTGCGTTATTTGCGTTAATTTAACTCATTAAACAGTTAAGTTACACAAATCACAGAAATTACCCTGTTATCTACCCCAGATTCTAAAATATAAGAAAACTTACGTTTAAAACTGCTAACTAACAAACAATGCCATTCTTACCTCAATTTGCTTGCTAACAAGTGGTGCAGCTAAATGGCCTCGCTATCCTGTCGGTGGTCTGTCGCGTTATCTGAAAAGAAATACTGTTAGCACTCTGGCAATGTTGAAAAATGTACTAATATTATTCTGAATAGTGAGAAATGTAAACTAAACATGAAAATTGGTCAATTTAAGAGGTTATAAAATATTATACCTGTGTTTGAAAACTGTCCTCTCCTCGTGGTTGTCCGCCATTAATCAAAAAGGAAATAATGTGCAAGGACCGGAAATTGGATCAACTCATCACCAGTGTCAATTGTGTCAACTCGCTGTAATTACGCTGACTCCGACCACTGATTTACACTGCAAGTGTTAATGCCATTCAAATCAACACCAGAATCAACACTTTTTAACTCTGATAAATTAACACCATAAAAACAACTCTAAACAACACTGGATATTAAAACAACTCTAAACAACTCTAAACAACACTGGATATTTTGCTGTGTAGTGTCCCGCATTAACATAAATTATTTTCAAGGCCAATCAGTCAAGACTAAGTCCTTGAGGATGATAGGGATATGTCTATGTCTATTCAGAAGATCTCTTAGGGTAATGGGGTAATAGGGTAATTCGACGCAATGCCGAAAACAAAATTGAGTTAGAAACAAAAAGTCAAAGTGTAAACAGAGATGTAGTTTTTACTGTCTCGTAGGGCATTAGGTAAGTCAGCATGGAATGGAAATTGTGATCAAACGTTCCGCTCTCACGCCAGTGAACACGCCATCAAAGAAGAGATGTTGCAAGGGGAAGTTAAAGATTATAAGGGCACATGAATTTAACGTCCAAAACACTCTCCATTTTGATTTCATGGTAACTTTAATGGTGCTTTGATAAGCAGTCTAATGCAAGATTACACTTAAAATATTTTTCTCCTTTATATATTTATTTGTCCTGTATTATCCTATTTTACAATAGTGTTTGTAAAGGACAAAAATAATTTAAGTGTAATCTTGCAATAGTATTGTGAATTTGACAGAAAATGTTACTGTGGCCTGTTGAGTGCAAGCAAAAAGTATGTTTCTGCGTACAACACTGCTGTGGAATTCATTAAAAATTGTTAAAATGTTTTTGTAAATATTTATTCTAGTCTGCAAAGTAATGTTTTAGAACAAGAAAATAGGTGCTAGGCTATAACCCTTCAAAACGTGCTAATGATAACAACATGCAGCAAGAAGATTTGAAAGTCTTAGGGGCCATTCACATATCGCGTTTTTTTCGCGCTCGAGTTCGTTATTTCAAATGAAGACGCGCGGCAGGCGCGCTCATAATGGAAGCGACGCGGTCGCGACGCGCACGCGGTGCGACGCGCTCATTTTTTCCATCCACGCGTTTTTAGGCGCGACATGTGAACGGCCCCTTATTCAGCTGAATCTTTCAGATGGTATAAATAAAACATATTTTGAATTGTAGATAGTATTGACATCAAATAGCCAACGACAGCAATGCTAATATGTGACAAACTAAATAAACAGAAAATCAATTTTAGACAGTGAATCTGGCTGTGTCAGTGTTGATGACTGATGTAAGATATAAAATAGGCCTAACGTTCATTGTCTCAGTGTTTTCCTAATCTTTTCCTTTTTTGGTTTTGTACATTTTTTTGTAAAAAGTAAACATGTAAACATTTTTCAAAACAACAAGCATTAAAATGTCCTACTGTTAAACTTTTCTTATTTGTACTGTAATACAGAGATTTAAGAAGCGAGTCCGTTTGTTTCTTTTTCTCGACTCCGAGTGACGTCAGCACATTGCGTGACGTCGGCCACAGGTAAGCGTTTCCTTTCCTTGTCGACCAGTTTCGCTCAGACGCTCACCCACCTGTTCGCGGTGGACAGAGGACGGAATGGGGAAGCTTCAGGAATTCGAAATAACTATTAATAACAACAAAACAGTTTATAGTCCAGGTGAATCTCTCTCCGGAACTCTGAAAATCTCAATTGCACAGCCAATACAATGTAAAGGTTAGTAAACAAATGACTCCAACTATCGCACACCGCAGCCACCCATTGTGTTTTCACTGGATGATTTTTAAAAGTTCACTTAAACAAGTTCACTTCTTAAAGTACCCTGCTTGTGTATCCCAAATGTTAGCCCACTGGTTGTTTTCCTAGACGCTCGCACGTTTAGAGTGGGTTTTGTGTTCTCGCATCGAGGACGGAAACTGTTGTGAGCGAAACTTGTTGCGGATCTTCTTTTATTGACATGCCACCGCGGAATAGTGCATAAACCTCTTACCGCATTCGTTTCTATCTTAGTTCTCCGAAATTTCCGTAAAAACCATCAACAGCTTGTTTAAGGAGACTGACAATGTTAATAATCACGTTGAAATATTTGTGTATAATCTACTCTGTTTCTCGATACCTTGCCAGGTGAACTAATCGCAGTTTCGGTTAAACAGTTTCAGCATTTTAGAACATTAACATTTTAAAATACCTGTATTTCACAAAAGATAGGCACAAGGACCTAAAATAGTTCAAGGAAACAAACATGGTTGTAACGCATGGGCAGCAGCTGCTTGGCTGTTTATTATTTTTCCCGAACGCCCAATTTGCATATTTATGCTTTGAGCCTTCAGCAGCGTGTCTGTGTCAAACATTAGACCTTGAAACATCTTTAAATTGTCCAACAAATCTGATTTTAAAATCTGTTCACAGTATCATATATAAACGCGATTTGCTGCAACACTAGTCAGACTGCTTGGTACAAAAAAGAAAAGAAAAAAAGGTAGTGTATGTATCTTGTCACCCACCACCTGTTGATACCAGCACCTGTTTCATCTAGTCTCAGTGCTTTTCATGTTGAGGTCAGATATCCTGACACAGCTAAGCCTCAATAGTCAGTATTGCTTATCCAGTAAAATATTTGATTAGGACAAAATAAAACTGCTGTGATTTTTAGATACTTGAAGGAATGTAAGCTTTAAAGATCACATTAATATGTGCCTTTTCTGATATGTGCAGAAGAGGTATGGGCATGTAGTATCAATTAATATGACTAGCTATCAAAAAAGTATAAGGCTTTATTAATTGCAATATGCATATTGAATGTATTTTCATATGCATTATACAGATACAGTACAGCGTATTGTGTATCTTCTACACCCATAAAACTAATATAAGGGTAACCAGCAAAATCTATTCTCAAGAAAGACAATGCAGCTACTGTTTGACTTTGGGCCTTGTCTTGGCCATGGGATCAATGTGAAATGTGTCTGAATATCCATGAAAATGTCGGCCTATAGGCAAGGCAAATGGGATAAGACTAAAAATGAGTGCAGTCAGATGATCGTTCAAAAAAAGTTACACCAGACATAATGATCAGTTTTACAGTGATATGAGAAAGAAAGCAAGTCATGTGGTTATGCCAGTGGTTTGGGGTTGGTCTATTGTTTGAGCTGAGATGTTGATGAAGAATACTCACCGGACTGGTTCGCTCACATTCCGGATCAAGGACAACAATAGTAACAATCACACACAGTCACCATTACAACTTTATGGAGAAATCAGCCGGAAGTATTTGAAAAAACAACAATTCTATTTTAGTCTTTATTTTTATTTTATTTTATTAAGTTAAATTAATAAAGTAGCTGATTTTTTGACCTGAGCCATTATTTTGCCCTCTTTTCAGGTTTATAAATCAATAGCAGATGCTTTTTTATGGTTGGACAAAAGTTTCTACCTACATCAGTTCTTGAATGTCAGTTTAGTACCCCTCATATTCTGTTCAATAAGTCAGAGTGACCAATCATGAGATCTTTAGATTCCAGATGTTGTTGTTGTTCACCGAGTTTCTTACTGGAGTCTCTTCTGACATATTTCCCATGGTTGCTTATGTATCTGTGGTAACATCTTTGCTTGCTAGCACTCAGTGTGTGTCTTGGGGTTAGAGAGAGAGAGAAGGGAAGTGTAAGAAATAAAGCTTAGCAAAGAGATAGAATCACCAAGACAAGGGTTTTAAAGAAAGAAATGGACAAAAAAGACTAATACGTACGTACATGCGTACACACTCGAAGTACAGTGTCTGTATTAATATGCATGTTAATCTGTCAGGGGTTGGGGACATATCTTTGTAAAATGACTCACTGCTTTGGTGCAGATTGCTTTTTTTTACTTTGATATTTTTCGGATTAGGTATGTTTTCTCACTATTTTATGTAGAATTAAAATTTTCATTAAACTAGTCAAAATGTTATATCTAATATAGGCCTGTCGCAATAATCAATATATCGACTTGTCGCACAATATATGTACATGACCTCAATCATTTTTGGTGACGCATATATTGCTCATTATAGTTACTTAAAAATTAATGTCTAAGGAATAAATTACATTTTAAAATATTTTCTAATAGAAAACAGTTATTTTAAATAGTAAAAATATTTCAAAATGTTACTGTTTTTGCTGTATTTTGGATCAAATAAATGCAGGCTTGGTGAGCAGAAGAGAATTCTTTAAAGGGGTCCTATTATGCTCTTTTACAATGTCTTGAATTTGTTTTGGGGGTGTACTAGAACATGCTTGCTTGGTGGTTCGAAGAGGATCGCGCAAAACCTTTGCACGCGCGGATATTGCAAGACATTAGAGTGGTAACGTTATTGTTTTTTTTTTTGCTAAATCACGTTTTAGATAGGATGTCAACAACCTCTTAAAAATAATAGGTGAGTCTTATTTGACAGTAATTTCACATGTCTTGTTTGTATGAAGGCTAAATACAAATAAAAGGTGAACATTAATTTATTTGTGCTGTTAT